GTTAAGTATGGTAATAAATTAACTAATAAATATACAAAAAAATTTATGATAATTTTTTTGTTTTTTTCTTTTTTTTTAGGTTAAACATAGTAATTAATTAAGTAAAGGAGAAAAGTGCATTTTTCGTCCTGTAAGTTTACCTCTCTCAACAATTTAGTCCTCTTCGAATAGCCAATTTGAATTTCGTCCTTTAACTTTGAAAAAGGGTTGCACATTCGTTCCCGACTCGTCGGAAACTCGTTAATTGCCCGGAAACACGCACGTGATGGAAATTAACGGCTCTTTCGGCCTACGTGGAGCCGAATTTCACACGCTGGCGACCTCAGTTACACGTGGCGGCAGAATTGAAAAGAAAAAAAAAATTCGACGTGTCTACACACGTGGAATAGAAACGTTGATAAAATGAATCGGGCCTATTGTTTTTGAATCATTTCCATCTTCCTTCAACCCTAATTTCCCAAATCACAAGATCCCCAAATTTTCAAGAACCCTAATTTTGAAAATTGTTGATTTCGTTCTTCAAAATTGTCGATTTCGTTCACCTTCAACATGTCTGAGTCGTCGCATTCTACCGGTTTCTTGGAATGTCGGTGCAGAAAAATGGTTGTTATTCGCACATCATGGACGACCGACAACCCGGGCAGAAGATTTCATTCTTGCCTCGAGTACAAGGTACAGTGTTCTGTTAACGACGCATTATATGATATTTAGGGTAGAATTGTATGTGTGTTTCGCCGTGAATCATGAAGGGTATTTATATGATATTTTTGGTAGAATTGCTTCTATGTTTTTTTGTGTTCTGATTCTTGCAATGTTGGGTTTTTTTTTATATTTTTTCTTGTTTCTGAACAATTGGGTTTCTTCTTGTTTCATGGCAGTATTATACATTGTCATGAAGGTCAATTTGGTTAATGTACAACCTTTTTGCTAATGTACAGAAAAATCAACCTTGTTTCGACCTTTTTTTTTTGTTAATGTACAGAATGAAAGCTGTAATTTTTTCTCTTGGATCGACCCTCTTACCTGTGACCGGCCTGAAAAAATCATGCTTGGGTTATTGAAGAAGATGAAGTCAGTGGAGAGAGCAAATGAAAATATCAAATTTGAGAATACCAAATTGGAGGAGAAGGTTGAAAAACTGGAGGAGAAGATTGAAAAATTGCAGAAAAAGGTTGAAAAATTGCAAGCATTGAACAAGAGGTTGGTTGAAAAGAAAGAAAAAATGGAGATGAAAATGGGGTTTGCATTGGCTATAGCAACTTTGTTGTGTGTATTTTTGCTATATAGAATTAGGTGAAGGCTATGGATTGAAGAAGGTTGTGTAATGTGTTTATTTTCTCTTGTAATCTTCTATGTACTCTTGTATTTTGTGTGTACCTTATTTTGGAACATCTATGTAATGCACTTGTGGTTTCAATGAAATTTCCTTTAGTTTGCAGACTTGTCTCCCTTGACTTTGGAACTAGACTATTAAACCTCAAACAAAGCTCAACTGCACAACTCAACCATTTCATTGTCAACTAAACTGCATAAAGTGATCACAACTCATCACAACCGCTGATATGACTCAAAGGCAATGCATAACTGATTACAACCATCACAACACAACACAAACAAATTCAAAAGTAGAACAACCATCATAACTTATCATAACCATCACAACTTATGTGTTCCATTAACTAAACAGAAAAAGAGCACAACATAAGTGTTTTACAAACAAAATTAACAATATCCCAAAAAAATCTAACAATATCCTGCCATTCAGTTTCCCACCAAAATAAACAAACAAATCCTGCAAGTGTTTTACAACCAAATCAACTGAAATTCAGATTCCCACCAAAGCAACTGAAATTCACTTCTTTCTAGAATTTTCTCCATTCTCCTTTTTGATCTGCTTCAACTTCTGAGATGAGCTACCCAAAGAAAGGTCATTTTGAATCCTTTCAAACATTGCTGGAGTTCCATCTCTTGCAGTGATGGCCTCCAATTGCTTACCTCTAAAGTATGAATAATCTCCTAATCCCATTCAGTTGTTCAAGGGGTGTGGGTCCCTTTGTCATCTCAGGCTGTGGAGTTGCACAAAACTCTTGTGTCAATTGTGACACAAAGCCCTCATCATCCCAGTCAGTTTCTTCTACAAATGGAGCAGGTAGTGCCATGCTTGGCCCTTCTTTCTGTTGAAGAAAAAACACAGTCATAGCACCATTTTTTTTACAATGACCATAACATAAATGAATTACCAAAAAAAATTAACAAAGTAAGTAATACCTCTTTCTCTATGGTGGAAATGGAGCTTTGTTTCTGTTCAAGAAACAACAAGTTGTTAATCAGACACATTTGTTAATAATGTAATTAAATGAAACATAAAAGAAAAATGAATAAAGTACCACTTGCTTATCAATGCTTAAAACTTGTTTCTGTTTCTTTGCTTCCCTTTATTTTTCTTTGGCCTTTTTTGCAGCAGCCTTAGCTGCTTTCTCCTGTCTTGTAGCATTAGCCCTCTTAATTTGCAACTGTAAAAGTATGGAAACATAAATAATCCCTCTTAATTTGTAACAATAAATAACAAAACTGAAAATTAAGATATATTTTACATAAAAGCTGTAATTTTGCTTACAATTGACCGGCTTGCTTTAGCCAGTGGGCTCTGATCCTTCTTGGCATCAGAAAGTGTTTTCTTGCCACAAGATCTGGCATTGTGATCCACATTGCCACATTTTCCACATTTCAAACTTGTCTGCTGCCTCTTCATCTTCATTTGAATCTTTGTCTTCATTTTCTATCTTTTCTCTCCTTTCTCATCAGGATCAATCCTCCTTGCTTTCTTAGGTCTACCTGCACCTCTCCCAAATGTAGGAGGCAAAGGTGGAATGAAATGGGTTTGGTTCCACAGCATCTGACAGTTAATACCTAGGATGGCTGGTCTGTAAACTCTTTTATATGTTTCCACACTGTAGTAGTCATGCACATAATCAACTGCATTGCCCTTCTGAGATACAATTGCACTACATGCATGCTTGCATGGTATCTCACTCAAGTCCCACAACCTACATGTGCAAGTTTTCTTTTCCAAGTCTACCACATACTGACCTCCACCATAACACTCTATTTGATAGTGAGTGTTGTCACTTTTCATAGGCATGCAGTCACCTAACTTTGCCATATTAGCCTCCACTGTCTTAATGATCTTTGGACACACATTGCCTTTCCATCTCAACTCTGCCCTATCCTTGTTTCTTTGAAGCCTTTTCACTAAGTACATTCTGATCCATTCAAGCATAGTCACTATGGGTTCCTCTCTAGCATCAACAATGCATGCATTAAAACTCTCACACAAGTTATTCAACAAGATGTCACACTTTGGTTTTTCTCAAACTGTGATTTTGACCAATGTGCAGGGTTCTTGTCATTGAACCAGTCTGCAACTTCTTCACGTATTTCTATCATTTGTCTCATTCTAAAATGGAACTCACCCACAGTAGCTGCCTGTGCAGCAACCCACAAAGCATTTTTAAATGCAGCCCCTTTGTAACCAGCATTTTTAAAGTTATTGTGCAGATGTCTAACATAAAATCTATGTGTTGAGTCAGGAAAAACATTCTGAAAAGCCACAATCAACCCTTTCTGTTTATCACTAATGAAAGTACAATCACTGTCATGCACAATGCCAAGATCATGTTTCAATGCAATCAGAAACCACTCCCAAGTATCCCTAGCTTCTCTACCAACCACAGCATAAGCTAAGGGATATATGTTGTTGTTAAGATCAACACCTACAACAGTAAGAAGAACACCTTTGTGGGGTACAGACAAATGACAGCCATCAACCCCTATTATTGGCCTAAGACCACTCCTAAAACCTTCCTTCAGTGAAGCAAAACAAACATAGAATTTGGAGAACCTAGGAACACCATCATCTTCTTCAACATCTAGAATCACAGTTGAACCAGGATTTGTATCCCTCAGTTGTTGGGCATAATCCCACAACTTTTCATACTGTGAATCTTGATTTCCCTCAAGTACCTCTAGAGCTCTCTTCTTAGCCCTATAAGCCTGGTGCCTTGAAATCCCAACCCCCAACTCATGAACCATTTCCCTTCTAAATCCCTTTACTTTTCTTGGGGGATCAGCCTGAAAATTGCTCAAGTACCTCTCAGACAACCACTTATTTTTAATATTTTTAAGATGAAAAGATATAGGGCATGTATGAGTGGGGTTGTAAGTGGTTATCTTGACGGCTTCCTAGTCAGAAATCTTCAGGGCATGAATTTTCCACTGACACTCCTCTGAATCACATACTGCATGGACTCTAATCTTATCATTTTTTTTTTCAACTTCACACTTCTTTTGGACTTAATAGCATGTAACTGTACAACTTTCTTAAACTCTTCTCTAGTACCAAAGACCATTCCTAGTGCAAATGTTGGATCATAGATATTGCTAGGATTAAATACAATTTCTCTATTTTCAATTGTTTCAGTATCTGAACAAAACTCATCAAAATCAAGTGGAGTTTCAACCAAATCTTCTTCCCCACTATCAGACTCAGGTTCAATTTCAAACTCCACAGATTTGTCTACATTGTGATCAAAGTCTGCATTATCCCTCCCACAACTACTTTCTGATCTAAGATCAAAGTCATTGTCTATAGTTTCACTGCCCTCATCACCCCCATCACTATCACACCCATCATCACTTCTATCAGATACCTCAGCACCCCTAACATTTTTTTCACTACCTTTTCCTTTATTTTTTCCACAACCCTCATTATCTGTCTTTTCACTCATTTCACTCTCACTTGTTTCACTGCTCTCTGCTTCACTCTCATTTTTTTTTTCTCCAATTCTACCCAACCACCTTCATCATACTTAGAAGTAGGCACAAATTGACTTTGATCCATTAGATCAATGTGAATGTCCATCAATCTATTAGTATAGAAACATTTAGCCCAATTACATACAGTTGCATCATCTTTCAGAAGGTTAAATGTAGTACCCGAGTTGAAATAATACCTTATATTTTCTACACAACCAAATAGATCACTAAGACAATCCAATGTATCAACACCAAGTTTTGACTTCTCTAACCAGTCAAAAATCATACTAGAACCCCCAATATAATGGTCAAGTGAAACGCAAAAATTGACCTCCACACCAAAGTTGGATAGTTAAGTGATCTCTACTTTCTATGGAACCAAACCCAAGTCAACCAAACAACAACAAACGGAGAGAAATTAAGGGTTTCCAGATAACCCCACCAATAAACAATTGAAGATTGTATAACTGTATTTTGAATGAAATTAGGGGTTTTCACCACATTACAGTCACCTAAATTAGAGTTAGAAAAAAACCCCTAATTTATCTTCAAAATTAGGGTTTACAAAATAACCCTAATTTATATTCAGAATTAGGGTTTGCAAAAGAATCCTAATTTATATTCAGAAATAGGGTTTGCAAAAGAACTCTAATTCATTTTCTAAATTACGGCTTGCAAAAAAAATTAAGATTTGCAAAGAACCCAAATTTCATTATAATGTACGGAATTTAGATCATCATTTCATTTTAATTGTACGAATTAAAATGAACATTACATTGCACGAATTTTCCATAAACAAACAAAGATAATATCACTGACCGTATGTGGGAGGTCCATTGTGCGTACGAATCTTCTTCCGGATGAACACCTTCTCAGGAATCATTTGGATTCTTGCTTCTCAATACTTGATTTCGAGCTTTCGAGTTTTTTGCCTTCGGAATTTCAGAGAGAATTTGGAAACGATGTAGATGGAGGGTGTAGATACATAAAATGTGTGGCCAATCAAATGGCGCCACGTGGAAATTAATTTATTAAAAATCAAGTCATATTTTCTATTTATATTTTAGGAATTTCCATAAATTTAATTCCAAAATTTTAAATAGTTAATTAATTGATATTTTAATATTTTAATTCTTGACCAATCAAATAATGCCAAGTGTCAAATCTTATTTCTTGGTAATAAATCACATGTCTTCTAGAAGATCTTGGGAGATCTAGGTAGATCTAAAAGATCTTATGTGAATCATCATGGACCAATCAAATCGCGTCCTACGGTTCTTAAATTTGGTATGGTTCTCCCTCCTACACCTATAAATAGGGGTTCTCCCTAAAGCAAAAAAAAAAAAACACATCATAATTCATATTCAAGTTCAAGAGCTCTAGAGAATTCTCTCGACGAGATTCAAGTATTCTTGAAGATTCAAAGGCTTTCTTGAAGATTCGAAGCAAGATTCAAGCGCATTCAACCTCAAGACTGGCGTTCAATCCGAAAACAAGCTGCAAAGCCTCCGAATAACGTTAGTAAATTCAAAATCGGCGTGGAGAAGATTCAAGATCTACTTTGCAACGAAGACCAAGGATTCGTGTTCTTCGTGTTCTTGAGATATAATGACGTTTGATTCGAGAAAAAGCTCTCAAGCCCTCGGATTAACGTTAATTCAAGCAAATCAAGTCAAGGAGAAGATCAAGCCGAAGATTTCGCTCCAAGATTTAAAATTGTTCGTGAGAAGAATCAGAGGAATAATAGAGATTGTAACCTGCAATATTTATTTTGATTCGAGAAATTTATTTGAATAATATTTTTCGTGTTTATAAATTCAATACACGAAATTTGTTGTTACAAATTTTTGGCACGCCCAGTGGGATATCTCTACCTCTCATCTCTTCTTCAAAATTCCTCAAATCATCATGACTAGCCGCAAGGTCGCCGTAGTCAAGATTCCTTCAACAAGTTCTTCAAGCTCCAACCCCGGCGTCGTTACAAGAAGCATGGCCAGGCAACTGCAAGCATCTTCAGAGACGGCTCCTTTGCACGAGGTGATTGGAAGTGATAAGCTGCATCTTACCCATGAACGTGACGAAGACGACTCCGCTTCCTCAACTCCTCGTTCATCATCAAGCTCTTCATCAAATTCAAGCATCGTTCTGGTTATGACAACCAATGCTTCAACTCTTGAAGAGCACATCGCAAGCTTGACAAAGGTTATTGAAGGGCTCGCGAAGAAGGTCTAAGAGCAAGATTCTCAAATCTCCAAGCTAATGGACAAGGTTGACAATGCTGAAACGAGCCGCATGAAGGACAAACAAGATGAAGATTGTGATGAGTCTGAAACATCCAAACAACAACAATTTCACGAAAGAGAGAAGACTCCAACATTTCAACATTCGTCTAAAGGAATGATCCCCATTGATCAACTGAAGGATTTCATCATGGGGACAATTAAGGATAGGCTTGACGGTAGTTCCAAGTCAACTCACACCTACGCCAAGCCATATACGCCAAGGATCGACAACTTGAGGATGCCTGTTGGATATCAACCTCCCAAGTTCCAGCAGTTTGATGGAAAAGGCAACCCGAAGCAACATATAGCTCACTTTATTGAGACATGCAACGATGCAAGAACCCATGGTGATTATCTCGTGAAGCAGTTTGTTCGTTCACTCAAAGGGGTTGCATTCGACTGGTACACTGATTTGGAAACAAACTCCATCGATAGTTGGGAGAAAATTGAACACGAATTTCTTAGTCGCTTTTATAGCACAAGACGTATAGTCAGCATGATCGAGCTCACCACATCTCGACAATGGAAGGAGGAGCCAGTCATCGACCACATCAATAGGTGGAGGAACTTAAGTCTGAACTGCAAGGATCGTCTGTTTGAGGCTTCTGCCATTGAGATGTGCATTCAAAATATGAGTTGGGGTCTTCGTTATATCCTTCAAGGTATTCGACCGAGAACATTCGAAGAGCTAGCGACTCGAGCCCACGACATGGAACTAAGTATGGCCGTAAGCGGAGCTAATGGGCCACCGATTCAAGAACTCCAAAGTTCCAAGGATAGATACGAGTAAAGAAAAGGGGGCAAGTTTTCCACGAAATCTCAAAATAAGGAGTCCCTGACGACCAATGCTATGCCTGTCAAGTTCAAAGGAAAAGTTGTTGATAAAGTCGTTGAAAAGAAGAATGTCCCCAAGGAAACTGAACAAAGAAGATTGACTCTGAAAGAAATGCAAGCAAAGCAATACCCGTTTCTTGATTCAGACGTCTCTGGCATATTTGACGATTTGATCGAAGCGAAACTCATTGAGTTGCCTGAGATGAAGCGTCCTGAAGAAGCTGGCAGGGTGAACGATCCTAAATATTCCCGTCTTGTAGGGCATTCAATTCATGACTGCTTCGTATTCAAGAAAAATGTTATGTAGCTGACACGCCAAGGAAAAATCTCACTAGAAGAAAGTAGCGCAACTGCTAATCATATAAGCGAAGCATGCAACATGACAAATGAGCACGAAGCTCCGCTAGAAGAAAACAATCTGCCTGAAGTTGAAGATCATCATGTTGGTCGTGATTCCATGATGGTCTTTACTGATGAAGATCTACTCTTGGTTCTAAGCCTCACAATAGACCCTTGTTTGTGGCTGGCTATGTGGAAGAGCAAAAGGTTAATCGAATATTGATTGATGGAGGATCAGCAGTCAACATTTTGCCCCTCTGTATGCTGAAAGAGTTAGGAATGACTACTGAAGAACTTGGTAATAGTCGGTTGATGATTCAATGCTTTAATCAAGGGGGCAAAGAGCTCTTGGCATTATAAGGTTGAAGTTACTGATGGAAGATATGGAGTCAACTGCAATGTTCCATGTTATCGACGCCAAAACATCTTACAACATGCTTCTTGGTCGTCCATGGCTTCATGAGAATGGCGTGGTTCCATCAACATGGCATCAATGCTTCAAGTATTACAAAAATGGCGTTGTGAAAACCGTGCTTGGTGATGATAAACCTTTTACGGAGGTTGAAACTCACTTCACTGATGCTAAATACTACTTCAAAGATGCAAAATCAGTTGAAAAAATTCTGTCTAAGCAGCAAAAAGGATCCGAAGGTGAAGAACCAATGATTGAAAAGGTAGAAAACTCTTCGAAAGGGTTAGTGCTGCCACTGAGGAAGATAAATGATGAGAAACCAATTTCCGAACCACCCATGAATTTCGTTAGTCCAAGAAAATGAGCGATGATGGAGCATGGCGAAGGACTGAAGAACTCAAAGTTGGGAATAGTAAATTCCGTCGTCAAGAGAGCCCTCACGGAAGTCTTTCTTTAAAATGCCGGGAACATCTTGATAATACCCAAATTGACGACTGAATCGATGAGGACTATATGGCTATATAAAGAAGCGATTACCTTGATGTGGTCTCCTAAGTTGACATTAAGCGGCAAGGTTGATGGTTCCTTCGAGCAGCTTGACTGTTGAGATGCGTTATCCTAAGTTGACGTTGAACAACAAGGTTGATGGTTTCTCCATGCAGCTTGGCCGATGAGATATGTCGCCTTAAGTTGATGTTGTGCGGCAAGGTTGATTCTTTCATGCAGCTTGACCTTTGAGTGTGTCATCCTAAGTTGGCGTTGAGCGACAATGTTGATGGTTCCTCCGTGCAGCTTCGACTTTGAGATGTGCTATGACGTTGAGCGGCAAGGTTGATTCTTCCGTGCAGTTTGGCCTTTGAGAATGTTGTCCTAGTATTGGCAGTAGCTCCATCTCTCGTTGGGTTGAGTTGGTTGTGGTTGCTTGTAAAATCCATGTTGTAGACTTCGAGTAGCGCTCGGATAGCCTATAAGCAGCCTGGTAGCAGTTGGAGAGCCTCCTTTCAGCCCGAAATAGTTCCCGATCAGCTTTGGTTCGGTCTGGACAGCTCCCAAATCGCCCCACTTCAGCCCGACAGCTCCGAAATAGCCTTGGTTCGATTCGGACAACTCCCAAATCTCCCCGCTTCAGCCCGGTAGCTCTGAAATAGCCTTGGTTCGGTCCGGACAGCTCCCAAATCGCCCTGCTTCAGCCCGGCAGCTTTGAAATAGTCTTGGTTCAATCCGGACAGCTCCCAAATCGCCCCGTTTCAATCCGGACAGCTCCAGAATCGCCTCGTTGCATCCCGAACAACTCCCGAATCGCCTCGCTTAAGCCTGGACATCGCTCGAACAACCTCCGTTTCAGCCGGGCAGCCATGCGAGCATCTCGAACGTGTATGTCCTGCAGCATAAACGTAA